TCACTGCTTGCCATCTCAACTATCAAAATTACTGACACCCTGGTCCAAGTCACCATTGCCCTAACCCCCTGAGTAGCATCCAACTTCTAAAGTCTATACCAATGCAGCAGCCAGAGGGACTTTTTAAACCTAAACCCAATCTGTTCCTCCTGTGCTCAAAACCCTCCCCAATGACTTCCCATCTCCTTTTGAGTAAAAACCAAAGTTCTCAAATGGTCTACCAGGCTAGCAGATTTACCTGCCCGACCTTGTTTCCTCCTACCAGGCAGACCTCTTTTCTCTTCCTTGGCTTGATATAAGCTTAAGGCTTCTACACTTCCTACTCACTCACTCTGCCTGAAAAGCTCTTCCCCTCTTTCCCCCAGATATCTGTGGGGCTCCCTCCCCTCACCTGCTTCAGGGCTTTATTTTCCACTCTGTGGCACCCTCTCCCACTAGATACACACAGGTGTCTGTTTTGTTCCCCACCATAGCCCCAGCACCTGGAAAACTACCTGACCCACAGTACCAACCCAGCTGCCATCAAGTCAGCTCCGACTCAAGGCGACCCTATGTGTGTCAGAGTAGAACTGCTCCATAGGGTTTTAAATGGCTGATTGCCAGTCCTTTCTTCCAAGGCACCTCTGGGTGGACCACAACCTTCAGCCTTTTGGTTAGCAATTGAGTACACCATCCAGGGACTCCTGACCCATAGTAAGAGCTCAGAAGTTACATGTGGAATGACTGAATGGTTATTCACAGGTAATTTTATAGAACCAATGAGTGAGACTTGAAAAAGTTTAGAGCTAATCTAAGTATATGAAGACGCCAGCCCTCTTCCTTTGGACACATTGGACAGTAGCAGCTCTGAATGGAAGAGGGGGAAGCATGGAGGCAGCAACCAGTCTGTCTGCCAAAAAGGACCCATCCACATTCCACCCTGTCATAAAAGTAGACATTTACAGACCTCAGTTTGGCCCATCACTGCCCCTAGTCAAGCCTGCTATATGCTGCTGTCACTAATTCAAATCATAAATGTTGCTATGGGCCAAAAGAATATTCCAAGGTCTTTCAAACTTCAAAGGCTTGAATTTTTACATTATGGTGAATTTTGAGTTATGGCATTTTTAAACACATTCAGCTTGGCCATATTTTTTGACAAATGATAAAATTATATTTATGAAAATGCTCCTGAAACTAGGAAGTATATACATAAAGATCAATAATTTCTTTCCTTTTCTTTATCCAATGTTTAGGAAAGTAATAGCTAGCTATGAACCAGGCACTGTTCTATGGGCTTTGCATGAATCGTCCCACTTAATCCTCCCAATGACGTAAGCACTATTACGAAGCTCAACTGACAAGAGTAAAGAGTTAACTCTTCCAAGGTCACACTGGAAGACAAGATGTGAAGGCAGACAGGCTAACTTGAGAGACCAGTGTTTCAGGGTTTATGTCAACAGGCCAGAGTGCTTCTTGGTTCCCCCTTGGTTCTGTTTATCCAATACCAAAGGCAAATAGGATCAACAAAACAAGACCTTACACACAGAATTTTGTAGATTTATTCATAGAAGACAAAAAATATCTCACCTCTAAACATACTTAGGTGGCTGGATTAAAGAATTAAAATATTTAAGAGGAAGGGAAATTTCATTTGAAGTTAACACTTATCAAAAGAGAGAAAAAAAAAGATACAAAACCATCAGAATCATTTTTCTTAAGATAGTGGCAAAGTCAAGACAGACAGTAAGAATAGATAAAATGCAGTATTCTTTGAAAAATTGCTTTGCAAAAGGAAATATTAAGAAATTCATTTGAAAATTAACATGTAAATAAAGTCTGACAAATATAGCTACTCGGAAAAAGTTATTTCCTTTGGGAATATTTAACTGTGTACAAGTCAGCCAACAACTAATGTTAATATTATTTCTTTAAATCCTGATGTGTTAAGGAGGAAACATTACCGCCCCCCCGCCCCAAAAAAAAACCCTGAAAACAGAATTCTGCAAATATTTGAGAGACTCTAACCAGGAGTGGGAGGAATTCCTTAATCTGGCATTCAGTGAATGTGTCTTGATAAAGAGGGATAATGGAATGGAATAAAGTGAACTTTAAACTAACAGATTACTTATGAACATATTAATTAATTCCCCAATATCCCAGCTTTTCAAAAGACCAAAACAACAAAAAGGACTTGGATAGGCAAGGCTAAAAATCATAAAAAAACTTTCTATACATACTTTAAATCATATACACAGTCCTTCACACTTTTTAAAGGGCATAATATCCATATTAGTTAATCTTATTAAACTAAACGTTTAATTCAATAGTTCATCAAAGTACATATTAGAAAAGACAAAACCTTATGATAAGCTAAATTAGACTGATGCACTTTCTCTGGCCACTTTTAAACAGGCAGAGGGAGCCCAGAAGTCTAAATTTGCCTTTTTCAAGAATTTTGTTGCTTTTGTTTTGTTTCTGAGTTAAGAGCGTTTTTAAAAAAGGCATCAATCATCAACCTTGCACTTTGGAGCAGGCTCCCAAATGCTTAAGCACCAGCCAGAGTCAAAGCCCTGTGTGCCACCACCACCCCTCCCCCATCACCATCATTATTTGGATATTACTGACCTCAACTGACTCTCAAACCTCTCCTCCCTCCATCCATCCCCAACCCTGCCCTGTTTCCAGTATTTCAACCCTTCAAGGATAAACAAGGTTCCTCCCAAAGTAAGGATAAGCTTATCTAATAACTTAGTCCATGCTTAAGGTTAAAAGGAGTCCTGGTGGTGCAGTGTTTAAGCACTTGGTTGTAACCGAGAAAGGTCAGTGGTTCAAACCCTCCAGCTGCTCCACAGGAGAAAGATGTGGCAGTCTGCTTCCGTACAGATTTACAGCCTCAGAAATCCTATGGGACGGTTCTACTCTGTCCTATAGGGTCGCTATGAGTTGGTTGGCAATGGTTTGGGTTTTTTTGTAAGGGTAAAAGCTAATGAGAACTGTCCCTCCTCCGTCCTTTTGCCTTCCCTCCCAGCCTTCGAGCCAGGCTCCCATCTATTTCAGTCAAATAAAATAATTCTGTCCCTAGAATGGAGTCCCTAGGTGATGCAAACAGTTAACATGCTAGGCTGCTAACTGAAAAGTGGTTAGGTTGAAATTCACCCAGAGACACCTCAGAAGAGAAGCCTGGCAACCTACTTACAAAAAATCAGCCATTGAAAACTCTATGGCACACATTTCTACTCTGACACACATAAGTTGCCATGAGTCTTAACTGACTCCAAGACAACTGGTTTTATATACTAGCAGTATGGCAGCCGGTGGGGAGCGGGGCAGCATTTGGGAGCAGGCCTGATGCTAGAGTCCCCAAAGAGAGCACTGTGTGGGCAGCTGCCCGCCCTGCCCCTCTGTCAAGTTTTAGTATGGGTTGAGCGTGATCTCTTCCTCTCTTTTGTTCTCTCAGCCCACTCAAGTATAGGCCACCCACAACAAGCTGCAAACTGGCAAACACAGGATGAGGAGTCTCCAGAACTGGATACGCAGCCTGCAGGCAAAGGCCTAGAACTACAGACCTTGCAACAACTTAATCCCTGGGGTTTGAGTCCTCAAGGTGAAAATATGAGGTTTAGACTAAAAGTTCTTTCAAACTCTTACAATAAGATCCAAGATTCAGATCCTCAGGCCACTGCAGCCTAAAACCATTTGATATTGCGCTGAGTTTGCACAATTCCAGCAGGATTGTGACTGTCATGTGGAAATCAAGTTATAGGGTTGCTGTTGCAGGCTCCATACTGCTAAAGGGTTACTAGTAAATTACTTGGCCTAGAGAAAAATGGATGAAAACACTTTATGATTTTTCACAGAAAAATGCTAATTCTTCTTTAAAGGACAGCAAGTAACATGCTAGCACTTTTAAGAACAAGCAACAATTCTCTTTTATTTTTGGAAATGAATCAAGTTAATGGAATACATGTAATGTTGCTATGTGAGAAGAAAGTTCAGGTCATCTGGAGGGTCTAACACAGAGCATTACAGGCGTTCCTTTGATTTTTACCCTGCCCCATATTTGGGGATTTTTAAAACAAAGTGAAAGAGGGCATTATCTCAGCTTAAGGCATAGACAAGTCACAGCAGAACAAAGAAGGCTTTATTATCACGTTAAACATCAAGGAGGAAACGTGCTCACTGAGAGCTAGGGTCCTAGGCTATCAGGTTAGCATTTGCTTTCGTAAGCTTCCAAGCCAACATTTACAGTTTACATCTAACACTGGTGGTAAAAATGTCCTGCTAGTGGCAATGTCATTAAGGGGAGAAAGAAAGGGAAAAAAGCCCTTGGAAAACGGAACAAAGTACACAGACAGAAACGTCCTCTTTGTGCCTTAATTGTCTATAGAACATTTGCCCTCTGTGCCTATAAAGTGATTTAACATTAACCACCTTTCACTCCGGCACCAGAATACTACCTCGTGACAAACACTCCTTTCGGAAAGCCGAAAAAAAAATCCACATACACAAAAGATTGCAAAACATACTGCCACAGGCCAGTGTCTTGGGCTTTTTGCCTAAGAGGTTTGCTTTCAGCAAGGAGAAAAAAAAAAACACTACAACAACAATAGCCCGTACAGTGAGCCGCCTCCCTGCGTTTTGGCAGACTTTCCCAACTAACAATTCCAATGACTGTGCCCTGAGCCCATTCAAGAATTCCATCTCTTAGGAAGTGTTTCAAATATAGTCATTTGATCTTTCAGCATTTGCACATGCACTTGCTAAGCAACAAGTCTGAGAGCCGTATCACCAGTTCGTTCTTCCCGGTCTTCCCCAGTAATCGTATAGGCTATTTCAGACTTGGAAGGGAGGAGACCAAAAGCACGTAAAAACCATGCCACACATTTCTGCTGCTGCATGAGTTTAGGTTCTACGTGCCCATATTGTTCCTTTCTCTCCAGACCAACTTCCGTGTTACTTTTACCTGGACCAGGTAAGAGGGTTTTGTTTTGTTCAGGCGTTCCAATGCCAGGGCTTACCTGGAGGTGGCTTCCTCCCCTCCTTTGGCATGGCTGCCCCCCACGACCTGGTCCTTGCCGCTGGGGTGGTAGGCAGTCAGCACAACTCCCTGCGAATTGGAGAGCCAGCTCATGGTGACAGAAGGGGCATAATTTCTGCAATACTGACACAGAGAAGGGGAATGAAGTTCCTGTCTAGCCTGGCAACTCCGCGCATTAGCATCCGCCAGCTCCTCCTCCCCAGGACGGGCGATTCACACAGGGAGGGGCGGGGTCTCTCTCTTGAAGGGCTGCCCGGCTCTCCAATTAGAAGCTGTGACTCAGAATATTGTTCAAACCCGGGGCAATTCCAGCCTGAGCTGTTTTAGTCAACGAGGGAGGCAGGGAGTTGTTTGTTGCTCTCCCCTCCCCCACCCCGGCCGTTTGTTATTGTGATCTTGTTATACTACCAAACTGTAAACTCAAATCATTAATACACACACAAGCAGTCTTGGTTAGGAAACAATAGGTTACTGAAGAGCCTTTTTTCCCCCCCAATTCCTGTTTCCATCTGATAATTTCTGCTGCTTCATGTAACATGAGTAAGGGCATTTCTTAACCCCTTCACGGTCAGCCTTAAAACTAACTGTAGCAAAATCCAATGAACCTGAGGCAAAACTGCAATGCAGCTGACAAGAAAGGCTTTACCTCTAGCATTCAGTTAAAAAAATACCCTCATAAAAATGACTGTGTGCTCTGGAATGTCGCCTTCATTCATCTGAAAGCCAATGCCAAATTTACCTCTTATCTAAATACCCCTCAGTACCCAAAAGACTCAGCTACCAAAGCTCTGTTAAATGTTATTGCTGAGAATAAAAATAGTACCTACCATTTGCTGAGCACCTACTTACAACATGCCAGGCACTGTGCCAAGTGCTTTAGGTATTATCTCATCCAATTCAATTGTCCTTTCTTCCTTTCTCTTCTCTCTTACGCGTGAGTGTGTGTGTGCGCACACACACACCAACACCCTACAAGACAGGTATCATTATTACCTGCATTTTATATAGTATAAAGAAAGCGAAGTTGAGAAATATGCTAAGTAACTTGTCTAAGTACCAGAAGCTGAATTTGAATAGAATTTTAGACTAAATTACATTCTTTTTAACCACCATGCTGTTTCCCTTGTTTGTAGATTAGGAAACAAACTCAAAAATTATAAAAACTGCAATAGAGGTTTCTGTTCTTCCTCCTCTAAAAAATTTTACTCTCTTCTACTTTCCTAGTTTTTGCTGTTATTGTTAAATGTTACCTTTATGACCTATTGATCTACCCAAAATTTCCAAAAACAAGTTTTCAATCCATAATTACCGTTTATACTTTTTTCATTATTTAAAATGATGAGAAATAAGTAATTTATTCATACTTAAGTACTCTTGAGAAATCTAAAATTTGTTTTCAAAAATTTCCTCTCTTTCATATCTACATTGAGCTCTTAGTTGCAAAAGCCTTCCTGAAAAAGAGCCAGGTATTATATTTTCCTCCTCTCCATCCAGAATTAGTTGCAGAACCTTTCCATTTTCACCTCCATAGGGCTCTACCTGCTGTCTCCTTTCTACTCCCATTGCCCCAGCACCAGTTGGGCCCTAGGATCACGTCTTAGCTCTACTATTAAAACAGCCCTTTAGCTCATCTGCTTGTCTCCTCCAAATTATACTGCACGTTATTATCACACCCAAGCAGAGTCCTAATAATGTCACTCTGGGCTTAAAAATCTTCACTGGGTCTCCATGCAAACAGAGGTAGTTTCAAACTTTTAAGTAGATCATTGAACATCCTTGCTACTTTTGTTGCTGTTAGGTGCCATTGAGTTGGTTCCAACTCATAGCGACCCTACGTACAAAAGAATGAAACACTACTGAGTCCTGTGCCATCTTCATGATCGCTGTTATGCTTGAGCCCATTGTTGCAGCCACTCTGTCAATCCATCAGTTTGTCGTACTGTGGGGACTTGTGTATTGCCGTGATGCTGGAAGCTATGCCACTGGTATTTCAAATACCAGCAGGATCATGGTGGACAGGTTGCAGATGAGCTTCCAGACTAAGACAGAGTAGGAAGAAGGACCTGTCAGTCTACTGCTGAAAAACATTAGCCAGTGAAAACCTTATGAATAGTAGCAGAACACTGTCTGATACAGTGTCCGAAGATGAGCCCCTCAGGTTTGAAGGCACTCAAAAGACAACTGGGAAAGAGCCGCCTCCTCAAAGTAGAGTCGACCTTAATGATGTGGATGGAGTCAAGCTTTCAGGAACTTAATTTGCTGATGTGGCATGACTCAAAATGAGAAGAAACAGCTGCAAACATCCATTAGTAATCAGAATGTGGAATATACAAAGTATGAATCTAGGAAAATTGGAAGTCGTCAAAAATGAAATGGAATGTAAAAACATTGATAGCCTAGGCATTAGTGAGCTGAAGTGGACTGGTATTGGCCATTTTGAATTGAACAATCATATGGTGTGCTGTGCCAGGAATGACAACTTGAAGAGGAATGGCGTTGCATTTATCATCAAAAAGAACTTTTCAAGATCTATCCTGAAGTACAACACTGTCAGTGATAGGATAATATCCATACGCTTACAAGGAAGACCAGTTAATACAACTATTATTCAAATTTATGCACCAATCACTAAGGCCAAAGTTGAAGAAATTGAAGATTTTTACCAACTTCTGCAGTCTGAGATTGATCGAACATGCAATCAGGATGCATTGATAATTACTGGTGATTTGAATGTGAAAGTTGGAAACAAAGAAGAATCGGTAGCTGGAAAATATTGCCTTGGTGATAGAAATGATGCCAGAGATCACGTGATAGAATTTTGCAAGACCAACAACTTATTCATTGCAAATACCTTTTTTCAACAACATAAACGGCAACTATACACGTGGACCTAGCTGGATGTAATACACAGGAATCTTGCTATCTTGCCCACATATTAAGCCTTTCCATCTCATCTGCCAGACACCATTCCCACAAAGGGCCCACTGCCATTTCTTTCCCCTCCTTCAATTCTAACATAACTCCTTCCACATTGTGATCCTTCAATGAAAGTTGAACGGGTGAAGAATTGAATGAGTATGTGCTCTTTAAAAGTATATTAAATTTTTCCACTAATATTGGTAATATTAGACAAGTAGATCCCATAGACAGACTAGTGCTAACCTATGATGAAATGTTCACCAGTTAAGGCACAATGAAAAAAAGACAGCGAGACAAAAGGTAAGTAGAGAGTATACATGTCTTAGTTATCTAGTGAAGCTATAACAGAAATACCACAAATGGATGGCTTTGACAAAGAGAAATTTATTTTTTCACAGTCTAGTTGGCTAGAAGTCCAAATTCAGGACGTCAGATCCAGGGGGAAGGCTTTCTGTCTCTGTTGGCTCTGGAGGAAGGTCCTTCTCATCAATCTTCCTCTGGACTAGGAGCTTCTTCATGCAGGAACCTCGGGTCCAAAGGACTCGCTCTGCTCCAGGCGCTGCTTTCTTGGTGGTATGAGTTCCCCTACTCTCTTGCTTCCTTTTCCTTTTGTCTCTTATAAGATAAACTGTGGTATGGGCCACGCCCAGGAAATCTCCCTTTACATTGGATCTGGGTAAGAGTGTTACATCCCACCCTAATCCTCTTCAACATAATCCAATCTTGCCTCATTAACCATAGGCAGAGATTAGGATTTATAACATATAAGAAAATTGTATCAGTCACAAAATGGAAGACAACTACACAATACTGGGAAACACGGCCTAACCAAGTTGACACATTTTGGGGGGATGCAATTCAATCCATGACAATATGAGTTCTGGCTTTTTAATAATCTTACATGGAAAAAAATGATTAAAGACTCCCATATTCACCTGCATTTTTTTTTTTAATGTTACTGCCCTGCAATGCAAAGATACGTGAATTACTACCTTATACAATTACTACTGGTGGTAGCCTGTACATACACTCTGTCTTTTGAAAACTCTTCTCTTCCCTTGTTTTCCTCCCCATCTCAACCCTTACTTTTCCCTTACTTCCCTTGACCTCCTTTTATCATCTTCCTTTATTTCTCTTCTATTTTTCCTTCTTCCTTTGCTCTGTCTTCAGGCTTTCAGTGCCACCCACCCCTATTGGCAGCCACAGGCATGCCAACTCTCATGACACAAATCATGAAAAAGAGGGCTTTTGTCCAGTTTTAACCAATATGTTGATTAAGTTATACCTGTGTCTAATTACTCTCTTTGCTTATTTAATAACAAATAAATCATTTAATAAATAGGCTGATGGGTAAATATTTTACAAGTTCAAAATAACACTTGGGTTAAGAATAACCACGCTTTTTAACACCTGTGAGACAGAGAATATATATGATACAAATTGATTTACATAGCTCCAATACACAAAATTTGAATCCTACTCATTTAGCTTCCAAGTACATGGAAATTCCCTAGGCTCCTTCTCTTTTCCTCCCAATAAACTTTGCCCTTATTGGTCTGATGGAATTGCCTGTCATCAGCAGACAGCTGGTAGGGTTCTGTGTCAGCGCACACAGCCTCAAACCTGGGCTTACATAGATTATAAATGGTTTTCAGAATTTCCCTGTGGCCATCAGGGAAGCAAACCTTTTTACCCATCTTCTCCCTTGAAAGGCTGTTTTATTCTATACCCTAAAACCCTACCAAGATTTAGCGAGGGTCCAGGCCATATACTACATTACCCTTTCACATAAAGACACATTTTATGAAAAAAGCACTATTTTACTCTCTTCCGTAACCATTTTAAACAAACACTGAGAACCTAATGTCCTTGAAGATGTTAATATTTCAGACTATTGACTGCATGCCAAACACTTTCCTGTTATGAGACATCTTAAAAAGTAACTAACAACATCAAGACAGTTTAAACATTCATTTCACTCATTCCCTTTCAGCAGAATATACTAGATAACATAGGAAGGAAAACAGAAGCAGTAATTTATGTACCGAAATAGGTTGATAAAAATAGGCCGGAGATAGTACTGAAGCTTCACACAATTTGACAACCATGTTTAAAAATAAATGAAAAAAAAAAGTCTTAGGTCCAGTATGTGTAGAACCAGAGTTTAATAACTGGTTTTCATATTTTGATTTAGGAGTCTA